CCTCAGACAATCCACCCTGAAACTTACAATTATACCTGTTTGTTACAGAGGTACACGGAGGTACATTCAGGTGAAGGTCGGACCGAGGGTGAATGGAAGAGTCAGAAGGAAATCCTAGTTGTTGTGTTTACACAGGACCAACACTAACCTCTCTTCCCTGACTCCAATAGGTTGCTTCCAGATATGTCACTGACCTGAGAGTAATTCTGAGAGACGGTCATTCTGGAATTTTTAAAATTTGTTCCGATGATGCCGGGGGATGGGGCAGAACCTCTGAATGAATCATTTTCTCATATAAGTGTGAACAATGATTAACCATCGAGAGTCTTGCCCTGCACTCGAAGGGTGTGTCTACACAGCAGTGTTATTTCAGAATAATGAAGTTACTCTGAAATAACATAGTCCGCACTTACACTGCAAGCAGTTATTTTGAAATAATGTTGAAATAATGTCATAAGAACATAAGAACGGTCGTACTGGGTCAGACCAAAGGTCCATCCAGCCCAGTAGCCTGTCAGCCGACAGTGGCCAATGCCAGGTGTCCCAAAGGGAGTGAATCAAACAGGTAATGATCAAGCGATCTCTCTCCTGCCATCCATCTCCACCCTCTGACAAACAGAGGCTGGGGACACCATTCCTTACCCGTCCTGGCTAATAGCCATTTATGGACTTAACCTCCATGAATTTATCTAGCTCTCTTTTAAACCCTTGTATAGTCCTAGCCTTCACAACCTCCTCAGGCAAGGAGTTCCACAGATAGACTATGCGCTGTGTGAAGAACTTCCTTTTATTTGTTTTAAACCTGCTGCCCATTAGTTTCATTTGGTGGCTCCTAGTTCTTATATTATGGGAACAAGTAAATAACTTTTCCTTATTCACTTTCTCCACACCACTCATGATTGTATAGACCTCGATCATATCCCCCCTTAGTCTCCTCTTTTCCAAGCTGAAAAGTCCCACTTTCTTTAATCTCTCCTCATATGGGACCCGTTCCAAACCCCTCATCATTTTAGTTGCCCTTCTCTGAACCTTTTCTAACACCAATATATCTTTTTTGAGATGAGGAGACCACATCTGTACGCAGTATTCAAGATGTGGGCGTACCATGGATTTATATAAGGGCAATAAGATATTCTCCATCTTATTCTCCATCCCTTTTTTAATGATTCCTAACATCCTGTTTGCTTTTTTGACTGCCGCTGCGCACTGCATGAACGTCTTCAGAGAACTATCCGCGATGACCCCAAAATCTCTTTCCTGATTGGTTGTAGCTAAATTAGCTCCCGTCATATGATATGTATACTTGGGATTATTTTTTCCAATGTGCATTACTTTACATTTATCCACATTCAATTTCGTTTGCCATTTTGTTGCCCTGTCACTTAGTTTGGTGAGATCTTTTTGAAGTTCTTCACAAACTGCTTTGGTCTTAACTACCTGGAGCAGTTTAGTATCGTCTGCAAACTTTGTTTGTCGAGCTGAAGGACTTCTTACTCTGACTCTTGTAACCCTCGTTGTATGAGGAGTAAGGGAAATCGAAGGAAGAGTGCGCTATCTAGAAATAACTGCTGTGTAGACAGTGTCAAAAGCAGAATTAAGCTATTTTGCCTTATGCTACGCAATTGATATAGCTCAAATTGCGTAACTTATTTCGGCTAAGGCCCTGTGATGGAGATATGACCTTACTGCTTTTTTTGTCACTGTCCCAGTGGTGGATTGAGGAGAATGAAATTTTCTTTACCAAATTAATTTTTTTTGTACCAAAATACTTCCACGTTTGAATCCTGCATGAGAGCTCTAGTCCCACATGGGACAGGAACACGCTTGAAATGTGCACAGCTATAACTCCTTTGGGTGATTATTCTCCTGCCGCAAAAAGAAGGCAGTGTCCTCTGTACCTCATTTTGCAAACCAGAAAGAATTCGTCACCATTGTGGTATTATGATCCATTAGAGAGGGGATCCCAAGAAGAGGAAAAGTAGCACGCACGGCGCATTTGGTAACTTCAGGGCAGTTGGTGTTATGATTTGCAGCAAGCTTTTAAAACGCGATCATCTTGCTATTTGCAATGTTACTGCATCTCGGAAAATGGAAGGACTTGTCATTCCTTTGGAGAGGTATTATTTTCGGGTATAAAGAAGCAACAGTTAAAGTAGATCAGACCAGCTGATAAGAACACAAAAACATAAGAACGGCCAGACTGGGCAGACCAAGTGTCAGACCAACAGTCCATCCAGCCCAGCGTCCTGTCTGCCGACTGTGGCCAATAGCAGATGCCCCAGAAGGAGGGAACACAACAGGTAATCCTCATGTGATCCCTCCCCTGTCACCCATTTCCAGACACACAGAGGCTAGGGACACCATTCCTACCCATGCTGGCTAACATCCTTTGATGGACCTAACTGCCATGAATCTATCTAGCTCTTTTTTGAACCCTGTTAAAGTCCCTAGTATTTACCACATCTTGTGGCAAGGAGTTCCACAGGTTGACTATGTGCTGCATGAAGAAAAACTTCCTTTTGTTTGTTTAAACCTGCTACCTATTAATTTCATTTGGTGACCCCAAGTTCTTATATTGTGGGAACAAGTAAATAACTTTTCCTTATGCACTTTTTCCATACCAGTCATGATTTTATAGATCTGTATCACATCCCCTCTTAGTCTTCTTTTTTGTAAGTTGAAAAGTTCAAGTATTTTTAATCTTTCTTCATAGGGGACCCGTTCCAAACCCCTCATCATGTCTGTTTCCTTTTTTTGAACCTTTTCCAATGCCAAGAGATCTTTTTTGAGATGAGGCGACCATATCGGTATGCAGGATTCAAGATGTGGGCATCCCATCGAGTTATAGAAAGGCAATAAGATAATGATTCCTAACGCCTAGCCTCCTTCCTTCCTAGCAGGTGCAGAAGGAACTGTCCAACGTCCTCCCCACGACCAGCATGAATCGAATGGCCCAAACAGGATTCCTTTCACGACAGCCAGTCGGGCTTCTGATGCTGCTGAGAATCACCTTGATGTTTGTTGTCCTTGTATCACCAATAAAGTCAGTTCAAGGACACGAGAAATGCCGGTGGCCCGTACAATTTGAAGATGAAAGAAAGCTGAAGATGCAACATACATGTCACACCCATGGAGGCTGAGATTAGCCCAGTAATCACCAACGCTGAAGCAAACAGCTCCAGCCAAAGGAGGACTTACAAAGGCAATCAAGTTTCTTTGGTAACTAATTAGGACCTCCTCCATAAAGCATCCCAGCTCCTCCAGGCTGTCCTAGAACTATAAAAAAGCTCTCGACTGTGGACTCTTCTAACCACTTCTCTGGACTCCATCTCCTTGGTGAACCAGGTAAGCCCAATTTGACTCAGTATCTTTCTAACCCTAGAGATACCACAGCAGTGGCTATTTTTCATTTCAGAATGATTCTTCCCTTTACTCACTCTAATTTTTATCAAGCGTCAGGGTGTCCTGCCATAAATATCTTGTGCCATTGTTATGTAGCAGGTGCTGGTGAGTTCACAATGTGAAACTGTATAGGGACTTTTGGAGCAATATGTGCAGTTAGGAAATATATTTCCTATGAACTGGAAAAAGGAATTAGGGCTTTTGCATCTTTTCAGTAACTTAAGACAGTCCCGTAGCTATTTTTCACTTAATTGGACTAGGAAGAAGTTTTTGCATCTTAGTCGAAAAACTAGTCTGACCTAGTCCAAGTTTTTTCATGTTAGTCCAAAAACAGTAGAGTGGTTTTCTACTTTACTCTCTCGATCAGCTGTTACTCCTAGAATCATAGAACACTAGAACTGGAAGGGACCTTGAACGGTCATCAAGTCCAGTCCCCTGCCCTCATGGCAGGACCATCCCCGATACACGTCTATCCAACCTGCTCTTAAATATCTCCAAAGATGGAGATTCTACAACCTCCCTAGGCAATTTATTCCAGTGTTTAACCACCCTGGCAGGTAGGAAGTTTTTCCTAATGTCCAACCTAAACGTTGGGATTGGTCCTGCCTTGGGCAGGGGGCTGGACTTGATGACTTTCTGAGGTCTCCTCCATGATTCTGTGATTCTAAACCTCCCTTGCTGCAGTTTAAGCCCATTGCTTCTTGTCCTATCCTCAGAGGCTAAGGAGAATAATTTTCCTCCCTCCTCCTTGTGACAACCTTTTAGATACCTGAAAACCGCTATCATGTCCCCTCTCTGTCTTCTCCTTTCTAAACTAAAGAAGCCCAGTTATTTCAGTCTTCCTTTATAGTTCACATGCTCTAGATCTTTAATCATTCTTGTTGCTCTTCCCTGGACCTTCTCCAACTGAGGCCTAATCAGTGCAGAGTAGAGCGGAAGAATGACTTTTCCTGTCTTGCTCACAACACTCCTGTTAATACAATATTCAATATTGAAAACACAGGACAGTATTAAATTGACAAGTGGTTTGATAGAGTGTAGTAATTCCTGTGTTTCTCTGGGCAAAAAGACCATGGAAGGTGTTCTTCATCAACTGGTGGAAATTAGCGACTCTGCACGGAAGTCAGGGGACCTGAAACTGTTTTATCCAGTGGAGGGAGTTATCCTTGGTGATTTGTTTGGCAGAACAAAAAGTCTGTTTATTCATCAGCAAGTTTTTGGGTGATTCCCAAAGTTTGGAAAACCAAAGAGCCATGCTGTGATGCTGAATTCAGCTGGTTGGCAGGCAGAGGTTAAATCCCAAAAATAAAACATGTGATTCCCATGATGCCAGCCATGTCTGATATGGACCCGGAATCCCAGGTGTCTATCACAGAAACAGTTATGTTTATTCCAGTCACTGTTTTTCAGACAAAGTCACTGAGAGAGGTTCCAAGTGGCCTGTTCGGGAGGAAGTTTAGTGCAAGTGGATAAGAGTTACGGAAAAGGAAATAGGAAGAAATACACGGCTATGAACATACGGACTGAGTCCCCTCCTGCTCTGTCTATTAGGCACCATGTAGAGACCACAGCAATAAAGGGATACTGCGGCTACCCAGGCTATTATGGGAATGGGGGATACTGCGGCTACCCAGGCTATTATGGGAATGGGGGATACTGCGGCTACCCAGGCTATTATGGGAATGGGGGATACTGCGGCTACCCAGGCTATTATGGGAATGGGGGATACTGCGGCTACCCAGGCTATTATGGGAATGGGGGATACTGCGGCTACCCAGGCTATTATGGGAATGGGGGATACTGCGGCTACCCAGGCTATTATGGGAATGGGGGATACTGCGGCTACCCAGGCTATTATGGGAATGGGGGATACTGCGGCTACCCAGGCTATTATGGGAATGGGGGATACTGCGGCTACCCAGGCTATTATGGGAATGGGGGATACTGCGGCTACCCAGGCTATTATGGGAATGGGGGATACTGCGGCTACCCAGGCTATTATGGGAATGGGGGATACTGCGGCTACCCAGGCTATTATGGGAATGGGGGATACTGCGGCTACCCAGGCTATTATGGGAATGGGGGATACTGCGGCTACCCAGGCTATTATGGGAATGGGGGATACTGCGGCTACCCAGGCTATTATGGGAATGGGGGATACTGCGGCTACCCAGGCTATTATGGGAATGGGGGATACTGCGGCTACCCAGGCTATTATGGCTACGGGGGAGTAGTCGGTTCCGGGGTGTCGTGCCACAGGTACCGCAGTGGAAGCTGTGCGCCTTGCTAAACCCAGCAGGCCCATCCGTGGCAGACCCAGGCAATGAACGGCCGGATACAGATTCCCCCCTGAGCTTTGGGGCTTGGCTTTCAGACGTGCTGGGCAAACCCGGCTCCAGCTGAGCTCAGTGGGAGCTGTGTGTGCTCAGCCCCTGGGTCTGGGAGCCAGGCTGCATTGCTCCCCTCACGCTTCATGGCTCCTTCTGCTCCTGCTTTGCCAGCCCCGCGCTGAGTCTCCTCCTGGCCTGTGAGCTCCTTCTGAGTGACACTCAGGCTGCTCCCACCAACCCCACCGGGTGACGGAAACAGGGGCCTGAGGAAACACCTCAGTGACACCGATTGTCATTGTAAGTCCCTGTATGTGTAAGGAAAAGACGTTGCTGTCCAGGGGAACCAGGCCCATCATGTTCTACCA